CCTTGCAAGATTGGGACAAATTTCATTTGGTTATAATTCATTGTATCCATTGTGGGAGTCGATTTCATAGTAGTTGGTTGGGAATTTTTACACCAACATTCATTTGAGATATTGGTCTATGGTTCCTTTTCCTGCAGAATCCTCATCTGCTGTTGGTATTAAGGCAATGTTGACCCCGTAGAATGAGTTAGCAAGCATTTCTTTACTCCATCGGCTGGAAGTGATCGCGGAGAATTGGTATAACCTATTTCATACAAGTTTTGTAGTGTTTACTAGTGACTCATTCTGGTTTGATGTTTTCTGTTTTGGAATACTATGTACTGGTTCAACTTCTTTAATAAATACAGTCCTATTAAGATTTTCTATTCTTGTGGTTTTGGTAGACCACCGAATTATTTAGAGCAAGTAACTGTTTATTTTTTATAATTCTGTTCATTTGTTTTTATTCAGTTATTTAGATGTCTACTTGCTTTTCAAACCTTTGTCTTACTTCCCACTAGAATATGCCCTCTTTGAATACAAAGATAAATATTCTTGCTCAGTGTAGCATTGAAGCCCACCACAAATGTCAAAGAAGATGTAAATAAATACAAAGATATATCACTTTAATGGGTTGGAAAACTCAGTTTTGTGAAGATGTCTATTCTCCCAATATTAATCTGTATTCAACTCAATCCCAGTGGTAATCTCAGCATTTTTAGACATTGAGATAGAAACCAAAAGAGTAAAAATAGACGAAGTGCTTTTGACAAGGAGCACTCACATTACCTAACATCAACACCGCTCCTGCGACTCTGTGGTAAACACAACCTGTGCTGTCGGCGGGGGAGGGGACACAGGAGTGGGTGGAGGGGTACACCGACCCAGGGCTTGGCCAACATGGGGTCACCTGGCTGCGCAGAAAGGCCCCAAGTACTGATATTGAGGCAGTTCTAGCCCGGAAAACACAGGCACGTATGAGAACAGAGGACATTTGTTTATTGAAAAGATACGACTTTCCCAACTATGGAGTAATTGGTGCCCAAGGACAACACAAAGCCAGAGGATGGAACAGCCAACAGTTCATACTCTGAACACAATCAGAATCAAATCTCCGTCCTCAGGCCACATGACAGAAGCATCCACAATTCCTCAAAGACAAACAGCTTCTCCAAAGTCAACACAGGCGGTATGCAGTCCTTCCATGACTGCAGAGCTGATAAGAAGGGGCATCATTTGGGGGAAAGGGTTAAGTCTTAAATATTTTGTTAGAGGCACAGGACGCTGCAAGATGATGTTCTACCAGCAAAAGGAGTAGCATCTTCAGTAGCAAAATGGTCGGAAGGTGCAGCAGCCACAGCCACAGCCGTAGCCACAGCCGTAGCCGCAGCCACAGGAGTTCCCGCAATAGTTGCAACACGTGCCGGCAGAGGGTGAGGTTTCGGTGCATCTGCAGAAGGTGCTTCTAAGGTCAGCTGTCCCCTGCCACCGGAGGGCCAGGGAAGGCTGTTCATCCGGTGACTCACGTCACTGACGTTGTTCACGGGCCGGTGCATACAGGTCATGCTTGTCGCTGACAGTGGGAGGGCTTGGCGTTTTCATAAATAGCATCTGCCTTCGATCACCCATTAGCAGAGAGTCCCCGATGTTGACTGGAGGACGGTGTTTGTGTTTTGTCACCAGGGCATTGCCTGGAGCCAGTCATGTGGCTATAGGGGAGTTCCTTCCACCATCCGGCTATCTGAACATGTGATTCCTGGGACTTGTGTGACAAGGCCCTGCGGAGGGGAGGGAAGTCCACGTTCGGTGTGACACTGTCCCAGGCACCCTGCCCAAGGCCCAGACTGGCCGACGCCACAGCGATTCCTTCTCAGTTTCTTCTCCTGGAACAGAGCGCCGCTCTGTATCTCGGGTCATGGACCCCGTGAATCCAAACATGTGGGCAGTCACATTCTGATGGCAGGTTCCTGCCCCCAGGCCACCCCTCAGGGGTTTGTACAGTTCCGGGTGATTGTTTACTTAATGCAAAAATAACACAAAAATAAGGCTTATTAGGACATGCTCAAATATTTTTAACTCACAAACATCATAGACTTTAGTCTATTTGAACACAAGGAAGTCATAAACGCGGTAGGCATCTTACGCTGTGGAAATGAGGTCACAAAAAGTTTAGGGAACTCCCCAAAATTTCACAACACACACACACACACACACACACACACACACACACACACACACACACGACCAAGATCCAGCATCCACTCCTGTGACGCCGCCTGAAGTCCCCTCTCTGACCACTGGGGGCGCAGCACTCGTCCTGACTTGGAGCTTGCTGTTCCTCTGGGGGACCCTGTTCACTGGGAAATTACCCTGTTAAAATCCCCACGTGCTGCGGAGTCTCCCATCATTCCCGGCGTCATTTGGGGTCCTGGATGAAATTTAGTTCTGCGTGTTGCTGACAAGCCACGTCCGTCGAGAAGGGCTGAAGGCACCTGTCACCCTTTTCCTGTCCCCCAGGGCCGTCCGCCTTTTGGTCCCTCCCAGGGACTGGTCCCCCCCCCCTCTGCCAATGAGCACGCGGGACACCCAGATCCCGTGAGAGGACACCTCTCAGCACATGCCGCAGAGGACAGGAGGAAGCTGGTGCAGGTGACCGCAGCAGGAGTGGCTCAGAGCAGCGGCCCGTCACCATGTCACAGGCCCAGGGGACACGGGTCTCAGCTCGGCCTGACCAGGGTCCCTCCCCGTCCAGAACCTCACGACATCACCCCACGGCGTCCACGGGACATGAGAAAGCTGCTTCTGTGTGTAATGGAACCTGAGCTGCCAGATTGGCAGGTCCGCCCCTGACTTTGCATCGAGAGCACTTGTACCAAAAAAGGAACTGGCTCTGTTAACTGGAGTTCAGACTTGCTCAGCTCGATCTTCAGACGCCAACCCCGCGGAGTCACAAAAGTCCTCTTTTCCTTGACGCTAGAGGTGAGTTGCAGGCTTGTCCCCAGCTGAAGGGGGGGACTGTACTTGGCCATGTGTCCTCAGGGGTCACCTTGGCCTCCCCACACCTGCACTTTCAGTCCTTAAGCCGAACTTGTAACTACAGTTCCTCCCAGACGAGCTATGGCAACAGGTTCCGTGCAGAGGAACTTCCTGAAATGTCCGGCTCTCCCCCCCGCAAGAAAGCGAGTCCCTGTTTGTGTGACTGACCAGCTCTCACTCACCCTTCCTCCTGAAGCCAGAAGTTTGTCTCTCTTCCAGAAAGGTTCCAGACCCTTCTCTCTCCTTCCTCGTAGTCCCGGCCTCGCCTCTGACGTCCGCTCTGTCTGTCCCAAACACCCGGGTGTAAGGGCGGTGCGGTGACGTCTGCTCTTGGCAGAGGGTGGCTTGGCCTTTCCCACACTTTAGAAGCAGATGAGACTCTGAGTTCTCTGTTTTAGGACTTAATAAATGTCCTTTGTTAAGGGCTTTCTGAAAGTTTGTGGACGAGCTCACCCTCTTATCTAATTTATAAAAATTGCTTCTATTTCTTCGAGAATAGCAATCAGTGTGCCCATCCTCTTTTGCCCTTTCTCTACTCAAGACTGTAATTTCTTTCAAGATTCCTGGGATTCTGGGAACACTGCATGTGTTTAACTGTGGGTAGTTAAGTTTTGACTCCAGTTTTTGAGGCCTTTTCACGCCCAGCATGAAGACCAGGTTTCTGAAACCAAACCCCCCCCCCAGCGGCTGCCCCCCGCGCAGACACGGGAGCGTGAGCATTTCCGGTTCTGCGCTTTCCCGGGAGCCGCACCCCCACCGTCACCATCGGGGTGCAGAGCTCACGGGCACTGCTCCCCTGGGGGTCCCGGAAGAGGGGAGGACACGGAGGGGCAGCTGCTTCCCCCCAAATCACCTGGGAACAGGTGGCCCTGCCTGGGCCTAGGCACAGTGGGCGGGAACGCACCTCGTGAGGGAGTCGTCCTCATCCTGGGGGCGTCACCCATCAGGAGGGCGCGTGGGTGGGGCGCTGTGTCGGGACTGTCCCCTCCCCCCCGTGTCTGTGCAGCGTTGTCCAGAGAGACGCAGCTCACCCTCCACACCAGTGTCACTGACGCCGGCCCTCGGCCCTTCAGGTCCACCCTGGGCGCCCACCCCACGCACCCGGCATCCCCGGTGCTGAGAAGAGGTGCAGACCCGTTCAAAAGCACTTCTGTGGCTGCTCCTTCCCCTCCTCCTCCCTGTGGGTGTCTCAGGTCTCCAGGGTCCCCCCTGCACAGAACCCTGGGGTGCTCTGTCCCCTGTCACTGTTGGTGCCGCCTCCCACCGCAGGCTCCCCAGCTGGTCACCGGGTCACTCTGACATCCCTCAGAGCCCCCGCCCACATGTCCACCATTAGTGTGTCCCCCAGGCAGCCTCTCTGGGCGTTCGACCCTGCGTGTGGGTGCAGGGGTGCGGGAGGGTGTGGGTGTGGTCAGGGTGGGGAGGAAGAGGCAGGGAGACCGGGGTCGAGGGGCGCCGACACTTAAAGACCAGCTCTTCAGTGAAATGGATCAGGACACAACCTTCAGCCGAGAAGAAGACATTTTCCAGAAACAAAACCCCAGACAAACAACAGTCGGCATGTGGCCACCAGAGTGGAGACGGACACACGCAGTCGGGACAGAGAGCGGAGCGTCCGTTCTGCCATCTTCGGGGGTCACGGACGCAGAGGACTAAAGGGTCAGCCTGCAGTGCGTCCGACACAAAGGATACATGAGCCAATGAACGTGTTAGGGCCAATGCAGGTGTTTATTTGGGAATCGTCCTGCAAAAGGAGAAGGTAGAGGGTTTACACTTGAACTGGGACCAAAATGAGGCCCTCTGCCCCCAGGAACGTCGGGGACCGACTCGGGCCCCTCCATAACAACACGCACGGACTTGCACGAAGACGACCCGTTTTCCGAGTCTCTGCTCTTCATTCCCTGCAGTCTGATGTTATTGAGATCCGGAGACAGAGAGGCCTTGAAATGATCGTTTTAGAGGAAAAGATGCAGGGCAGTTACAGTCTAGCAGCAAGAAGAATAGCATCTTCTGTAGCAGAAGGGCCGGTATCCACAGCAGCCATAGCCAGAGCCGTAACCACAGCCGTAGCCAGAACCGTAACCACAGCCGTAGCCAGAGCCGTAGCCACAGCCATATCCAGAACCGTAGCCACAGCCATATCCAGAACCGTAGCCACAGCCATATCCAGAGCCATAACCACAGCCGTATCCAGAACCATAGCCACAGCCGTAGCCAGAACCGTAGCCACGGCCATATCCAGAGCCGTAACCACAGCCGTAGCCAGAACCGTAACCACAGCCGTAGCCAGAGCCGTAGCCACAGCCGTAGCCACAGCCACCACAAGAGTTTCCGTAATAGTTGCCACACATGGTGCCTAGCAGTGGATGTTCTATAGTTCGGGACAGTGGCTGGTGCAGGTCTGAGGTCTGAATGTCCCCCGACTCTGAGGCCTTTATATACTGGCAGAAATGGGCGGAGCACCCAACACAGACTCTGTGGCCTCATTACCCCGGCAATTTTCATTTTTACAAGGCCCGTCATTCTCAGGACAATTTTGTTCAGGTGCGAGGCCCAAGCTTTGGCCCCAGCTGGTCACGAGGGCTGTGACAACATAGAGCTAAAGGACCCACGCGTTGAACAGGCGTCTCTGGATGTCATGGCACCCGATGGAGGTGCTGGCCGCTGCAGGGTGCAGGGGACAGTGACCCTCGTGCTCCCGCAGGGGCAGGGGAATGGGCACTGGGTGTGCTCCAGCTGCTCACACTGCAGCGTCGACAGGGGAGACGTAACAACAGAGCGTAAGGTGAGGCGTCCACAGGTGTCACCTGCGGTGGACGGACGGAGCCTGGTGGGCGGGCCGTGGCCAAGGCGGCTGGGACCGGAGACAGGCCAGGCGAGGAAGGTCTGAATTGGTGTGAAATCGGAGTCTGCTGCCATTCACCAAGAAAGCCACCACGGCTCTGCTGCGTGCAGTGGAATCCACTCTGCGTAAAGACTCCGGGCACAGTTGTGTGTGATGCTGTCTTCAGAACATCCACGCACCCTCACCACCTACACCGCTTCTGCCTGAACCCGGCTGACTCTGCAGAGGGCGGCTCAGGTCGCGGTTCACAGACACTCCCTCTTCCGTGAATCTGACCACCAGGCCCCACTGTTGGATGAGAGCCTGTGCATTTCTTCGACCAGTAAAATCTATCATTATTTTATTGTACAGGATGTAATACAAGAAATGTTATTATTATTTATATTTCCCTCTGTAGCTTTTGAGGCCCACGCACCTTTATTGCTTCATTTGGTTCCTACAAAACAGCATCAGCCCGGACACCGTCCCTTGCGTTTGTACTTGTGCGGCGCGGTGGGGACACAGAGCTGGCGTCAGCCTCGCCCGCGGCCGCCCAGCTGTCCAGGCTGAGAGCTGAACAAACGCAACCCCAGTCTCGCAGACCAGTGAGGGCAGAAATCCACGCGTTCGTCCTCCTTCAGTTTTTCTAACGCAGAATAATCCCTTCACCCACTGAGATCACAAAGAATGTGGGACTGCTGCCTGGTGTGGCCGTCACGCAGCCGTCACTTGGTCTCCCTCCCTGGGTGATGGGCACCCTCCCAGTCATAGCCCGGCCTGGGCCTGGAGCAGACAACGGGGGCGCTCAGGCCTGCACCGTAACTGTCCCCAGGTGCCACCCTGGGGCATGACAGCATCGCTCTAACCATGACGAGTAAAATCCCAACGCCCCGCTCGGCAAGTCCAGAAGCCACAGCACTGGAGCGGGGACGACGGCGCTTCCCCAGACACCGGCGCTGCCAGTCACTGCAGGAAAGCAGTGCCCTGGACCGGCGTCCGCAGCATCAGAATCACAGCCTCAGACTCTGGGGCGGCCCCGGGTCGGTCCCCCTGCACCCGTCTCGCCACTGAAGCTCGCTCCACGTTGGCTCCACACCAGACACCCCACCACCCTCCATGTTCGACACCACCTGCCCGTGCCCCCACACGGCTTTGGCCCGGCCGTGTGTACTGTGCCCTCTGTTGGTCGTTTTTCCGGACGGTGACCAAACGAGCACATTAACTTTACAAGAACCTCCGAGGACCTGCGTCACCCAGGCGCCGCCCCGGGGCAGAGGCTGCCGGGGAAGAAACGTATATCGGGAGCTCAGGGGCAAGCCCTGTGTCCGGGGACCCTCTGGGAGCCGGAGCCCATTTCCACCCGCCCTGCCGCCCCCTCCCCCTCGGCCTCGCCCACAGGCCGCCCGAGGGTCCGCATTTCCCGCCCACTTGCTCCACTTACTGCAGCCTCTGCCGTCCCACGTGCCCCCACGGACACTGGGCGCCTCGGATTTCTCATACCTGCTGCCGAGGCCACTGGCATCTTTTCTAGCAATTAACACAATTTGATGCTAAAGGGAAAAGCAGGACCAAGTCACCAGAAAACAAACGAGTCCCTACAGCCCACTAATTTGTTCCTATGAACACGGTGACGAGCGTGTCAACAAACACACACGTGAGTGACAGTGGAGTGGCATCTAGCATGGGCGTGCACCTGCATGTCCGATGTGAGAACACTGACGGTGCTGATTGAAATTCGGGGAGTTGTCCAGTATATTGTCAATGTGAATAAACATGCTGTGTAACATGTAAAATTGTCGGTTTTGTGTGTCTAAACATAGTCAAATGTCAGCACTTTCATACCCAACGATCTAACAGTAAACACCGTGACGAAGTCTGTGGGGCTGTCGCAGAAATCCAACTTGCCTATTTTATTTATTTACAGCTCCCAACAATCTCCATGCAGCGTCGTTTCATGAGTTACCATCTGAACATAAGACGGTTCAGGGGAGGAAGATCTCACGGTTGGTGACTGATGGGGCCAGTTCTGGGTTGGGGGGGGCAGTTCTGGAGCAAAGGCTGTGGGACTCTGGCAGCAAGGCTTCCGATCACCGTCTGTGCAGGTTTTGGGATGTGTGATCGCTTCGGACACCCGGAGGAAATGACACCTTGCAGAGGGAGACAATGATTTACGTACAGGAGAGCCGGGTGTCCGTGCAGGCTGCGCAGTTCAGGCACAGGGCAAAGCCGCTGATTTCTCCGGGCTCCCCAGCCTCCTCGCCCCGCAGGTCCTGGAGTGCGGCCGCTCCTCACACGGGGAGGAGACGCCCTGGGAACTCGGCTCCCGTCCGCACCGTCCGCACCGTCCGCGCGGTGCAGAGGGCCTCTCCGTGCGCAGTGAGGACGCTCAACGACATTCCTAGGCAGAGAAACAAATTTCTTCTCCACGGCCGTGATTTTCCTGTAACTGGTGAGTGACTCGCCCACCCCGCCCCCCGGAGTAAATACTTGCAGCGCAACTGAGTGGTTTAGCGCCTGGCTCACAAAAGTGCTGAAAAGTCAACACCGTTTTAGCTCTTTGATGATGTAACTGTTATGCTTAGAACTTGAATCAGTACAGAATTTCTTTAGTGGATCGTGTGAAGCAGGTGACTTATCTTTTCTGCGTCTGAGCAGATGGCAAACTAACCAATCCCCTTCCCGAACCGACTCAGGAGAAAACTTCATTTAGGGGCCGTCCTGAGGTCGTCAGCCCTGGCTGCTGCCGCCTCCGGCCGCAGAATGACCTCCTCACTGGGCTCCAGTAACGGGGCTCCTCCCAGCCTGAGTCTTCCCCTGGCCGCTGGTCATGACCTTCTACAGTCAAATTGTGCAATAGAAACGGACCGTGAAACACAGAGAGAACTTTAAATGGCCCGCCGGCCACATTTGAAAAAAGGCAGAAGGTGAATTAGTAGGATGGCCTATTTTATTCAACTTACACATGTAAAACATTATCATGTAATCCTGGCTGGTGTGGCTCAGTGGATTGAGCGCCAGCCTGTGAACCAAAGAGTTGCCAGTTCGATTCCCAGTCAGGGCACATGCCTGGGTTGCAGACCAGGTCCCCAGTAGGGGGCGTGTGAGAGGCAACCACACATTGATGTTTCTCTCCCTCTCTTTCTCCCTCCTTCCCCTCTGTCTAAAATAAATAAATAAAATCTTTCATATTTTTTAAAAAAACATTATCATTTATATGTAATCAGTATTTTTAAATTAGTCAGTGTGGACTCATTCACCGCAGCCTTTCCGACAGAGGTTCCCACACCAGCAAAGAGTCGCCGGCTTGGGCGCTTCTTCCCTTCAGTGCCTCCACCTTGACTTTTGTCCTCCCGCTCACGCACCACCTGGTCCCACGTCCCGGCCGGCTCTGCCCCAGTCGCTCCCCCGTGAGTGCTCAGCCACGTGGCCTCGCCCTGGGACTGCCGGGCATCGCACCTTCAGGGCAGCATCCTTTGGCTATTTCCTTCCCTTCCAGACCCGTCCAGAGCCAGCGAGAGCCCCAGGCACAGTCCTGAGGACACGTGGTCAGTACCTGGGAGTGCGAGGTCTGAGCGGCTGGTGGAGAAGCACAGTACTTATGTAGCTGGATTTATGATTAAGATAGTATTTGTGATTCAGGTACAAGGAAAAATGCTTATATTACATCAAGGAAGGACCCAAAACTGAAGCAACATCTTTTAGCCCAAGTTTCAAGAGAGTCCACAACATTTCAAAAAGGAGGAATTCACAAGCAAGTACCCAGAGATTTCTTAAAACAACAACAAAACATTTATTGAAATGGTGATTTGCCCAGTTGGAGGATCTTAGTATCATCGACACCATCGTAACAGAGGAGCAGAGATTAAGGAGGTCGAGGGTCACATTTCGGAAATAGATGGTATCGCAGAGACTGGGGACGCAGACGCCGTCCTGAGAAGTGGGTGGTTGGAGGTCGAGACCTCGGTCAAGCACGCGATTCCTTAGGTACAGAAATCCAGGGGGACGGGTGTTCAACCGGCAACGTCTTCAGACGCGTCATTTCAGAAGCAATGGAGGCTCTGGGAGCGACGTTCTAGCAGCAAGAAGAGTAACATCTTCTGTAGCACAGCGGCCGGTAACCCCAGTAGCCAGAGCCAGAGCCACAGCCAAAGCCGGTTCCGTATCCCCAGCCAGAATAGGGGCCAAGCCCACAGCTGTAGCCAGTTCTGTAACCCCAGCCAGAGCAGGGGCCACAGCCATAGCCGGTTCCCCATCCCCAGCCAGAGTAGGGGCCAAGCCCACAGCCGTAGCCACAGAGGTTGCCGTAGTAACTGCCACACATGTTGTCCAGGGAAGGAGTTCAGCTGAGCAGCAGGAAGATGCTTCTGGGACGCGTGCCTTCTGCCGGCCTGGGACCTTTATATACGGTCGGTAACTGGCAGAGCGTGGCATTCTTCTTGTGACTCGGCCAACAAGTATTCAAACCACTGCGAACTGCGTGCCAGTCACTGTGGACGATCAAGGCTGCTTCACTTACAAGGAGCTCGTTATTTCGAAGACGGGCTTTGTTTAAAGAGCATCATTTTATTCTGCTTTGTCAGAGTTGTCCCAGTAGAATCGTGGGCCCAACAGCAAAGCTAAAACCTAATTTCAAAACATCCTGTTGTCAAACGTAAACCTCGTGGAACAAGGTTTGGGGGTGGAAGGAAACTGTTGCCCCCTCTTCTCCCCACTCCTTCCTGTACTGTTGCCCTCTGCCCAGAGGGGACAAAGGGACTCTTGTCCCTGTTCTTGGTTCCTTGTACCTTCCCGTCCGGCTCCTCCGACCCACCTTGAACTTCAGCACCTCCCCTTCATCCGCTCCACTCCTATCCCAAGGAAGAGAGCAGTGCCTGATAACCCGAGGCCAACTGCGTCCACCGGAACGAGGGCTCCTTGGGGGTCCGGGACAGGGGTCTGCATCGAAGCGCTTCCTCCTCCCACACCCCGGGCAGAGGGAGGCCGAGGCAGGCAGGGCCGCCCCTGTTCTCTCCCACTCTGTGCAGCTACGTGAGACTTCTCGTTGGAAAACCTCGGGCAGCCGAACCAGATTCATTTGGATGCAGGCAAAGACCTTAGTTAAACCGGTAGCTAAACCTGTTTTTCCATGTTGACATCATCAGAATTTTGCGGGATGAGCTACGGGAAGGTTTCTAGAATTTAAAACCCTTTTTGTCTTCCCCAGCACTACCTCGCCCGCCCACCAAGTGCAGACGCTGGGGGACGTGGGTAACTTCCTGGGGCCTCAGCAGAGCCACCCCCCGCGTCAGCACCTCCGTGACATGAAGGAGCGCAGGCTTCTACTTCACCCTCTCTTTGTGTGTCATTTCACTCGGTCCATTCAGATTTCTCAAAATGGCCTTTCTCAGAAGTTCTGGAGACACGGGGGCAGTCGCGTGGGACCATGCGGCCCAGCAGCCCCGGCAAAATCTCTCTGATAAACCGAAAGTACCTTGGAGAAGCCAAGTGTGCGTAAGAAAAAAGGTACTTTTCAGTGAACTTCCTTTCCACTCCTTTGGCTACGCACAGCGAGTCCACCCAGGAACCAGGGACCCAGCACTGAGCAGAGCCCCTCCGCTGCCACCAGGACGGGCTGTGCCCCCGCGAGATGGTGCTCTGGGTTGGTGGGACGTGACCAGAAAGGCACTCATTTCAAGTCCCTGACATTTGAGAAGGGTCAGAACCTCGTGGGAAATGCAGTGTCTGTGGGCCAGGGTGGCCCGTCTTCCTGCCTTCTCCCTCTCCCCCCTGCCTCGGCCTGGCCCCGCCCGGGCCGCCCCCCACCACCACCCCCATGCCAGTCCTGGGCAATGAGGCTCGTGGGAATTAACTACGTGGGGAGATTCCTGCTCTGTCGCTTCCCTGTGCACTTGGATTCACACCCCACCACCATCCAGCGAGAACTTGACCTCCTGAGCTTCCATCTAAGAAACTCTGAATAAACTCGGGAAGGAAGACAGACACCCTTCCTGGGGGAGCGAGGTGGGGGTGTAGACACAAGGCCTGGACCCGTGCCCCAGCCCCAGCCCCCACCCAGGTTCCGGGTGTCCCAGGAAGCCTGTGGCCCTGCGAGGGGCTCCTGGAGTTCTGATCCAAAGACCATCGAAAAGGTCTCCAGTCCCATTTCCATTCCGATCCCCGGACACGGGGCCACCGAGGCAGAAACAGTCCCTACTCTGTGCACCCCTGGGCGCACCCACTGGGTGTTACCGGTGTCTCCGCCGGCCTGCGCGTGTCCGCACACGAGTGAGCCGCTTGTACACACCGGGAAGCTGCTGGGGCAGAGAGGCCCCCTGAGCAGCAGGGTCTCCCGCTGCGGTCGGGTCGAAGCGCTTTACCGAGTGCACGGCTGCCCCGCCCCCCGCCCCCATGTCCTCGCCAGGTCGGGGCCGCGCTCAGTGAGTCACTCCATTCTGCTCAGTTTCTCCCACGACAGTTCCACGTTCTCTCCTCACAATCACTTTTCAAACATCCAATTTTCTTGTCCCAAAATGGGGACTTTTGTTTGAACTGAATGTCATAACTTTGTAGTCTAGAGGCGGTTATGCAATGGTACACATACACATGCTCTAATTTAAAACTCTGTTGTGATGACGAAGCAAAACCCCCCTCCTCGCGGCCCTCCTGTACCCCAGCTGCGCCCTTCTGCACACCCCTCCACCACCGCACACACCGCGTCCGCACCGCACCACCGGACCTGTGCCGCGCCTGTTCTCAAACTTGGCAAGGGGAGGACGGCTGTGTGGTGCTGAGGAAGCGTGTTGTCTAGAAACCTCAGGTGCACAGCAGATAAAAAACCAATGTGTGTTCCCGAAATTCCAGAGGAGCCCAGAGATCAGCGCACAGCACAAATGCATCTTACTTTTAGGTGCAGGTCTGTGTGAGGGCTTGATTAGGTGTCATAGTGTAACGAGATTTTCATCAAGGATTTACTGGACAGCAAACTCTCACCGTGCATGGGAAGCATATTCTAGAATTCCCATGATCTGAGACGCACATACATCCTCCCCTCATGGTATAGTGTATTTCTCCAGCTTCCGATCGCCGCAGAAATCTTCAAGTCCCAACCCCGAACAGTTGAACAGTGAAAAGCCCCCACTGGGCCGCCCACCCACGGTGCGTGCGAAGCGCCTTCGCAGGCCTTGTCTCCATCCTCTCGGCCTGTGAGACAAGTAGAGACACTTCACACACGGTGTCTGCAGTTAGAGGAGGAGGCTCGTGTGACTAAGTCCCCAGCCCAGCGTCACAGGTGCCGAGGGCCACAGCTGATGGGCCCACGGGCACCGGCTGCCCCCGGCCTGGCCGCCCTCCCCTGGCACCAAGAGCAGAGCCCACTCGCTGGGCGCTCAGTTGACAGTGGGAAGCTGGGCAGCTGCTCCCCAGATCTGGTGGTGACCACAGACCTCCAGCGGTGACCCCGAATGCTCAGAAGAGCCGCTGTCCCCGCCGGCCAGTCCCCATCTGTGCCTCAGGCCTCCACGCGAGCGCCCTCGAGTTGGACGGGAGCCTGACTCTCACACCCGAAAACAGCCCCCGTCTTTTACACATCACAGTAAAACGGGGGTCTCGGCCATTCTCAGTCTTAGTGCGATGCTCCCACGTGAGACTCTGATTTAACCGAGAACTGGGCTCGCTCAGGTAGACAGAGGATGGCAGACTAGACAGACAGACAGACGAGTTTCCCACATCGACTACCGTAACAACTGCTCTCTTTCCTTAGCCTCTAAATTGGATAATAGCTTCTTTCCTGTGCTAACGACTGAGTACGCAGAGGACCCGATTTCACGTGAAAGGGCGTGGTGGCAATTTGCTCCAGACACGACACTTTTCCTATTTCTCTTCCAGACTTTGCAGGAAGGCTGCCTCACTCCCCGCTTTACCCACACCCCCTACTCTCGCTATAGATGCGGGGGACAGCAGACTCATGGGGGGGGGCTGACTCTCCCCCTGTCCTGCCTCTGAGGCACCAGCCTCGTCTCCCCTGCCGGCGGGCACCGCCCTTCCAGTCACTCCCCACATGGAGCCGGCAGCACGTCAGGGCCGGCGTCACCGGGTCGCCTGGACCCTGGAGTCTCACTGCGGCGGTGCTGCTGGTGGCCTGCAGTTCCTAGCTGTCACCCCGTGACTCTGTGGGGCTCCCGCAGCCAACGTGTTGGGAAGCCATCTCTTCTTCAGAAGCCGTTCTCCCTACAATCATCATTCTGGGACCCCCACTGTCCTCTCTGGGCACAGAAGCAAACAGGACCCTCCTGCCACACGAGACTTTTGATGAGTCTTCATAACCCGCGTCTCCTCGAAGGCCGAGCTGCTGAAGGGGCTGTCCCCACCCTGCTCTGTCCTTGGACACCGCTCTGTGCGCCCCGCCTCCTGTCTGGAATTCAGGGGCTCGCCCTCCGAACAGGGCAGAGCCTGTCCCGTGGGTCCCTTCCTGGCACCGAAGGCCAGGCAGGCCCCTCGCCCGCTTCCCTGAGCTCCCCCAGACCCGAGCCCCCCTCCCTCCCCACCTACCTGCAACCGTTTCCTGCTGCACGAACACGACTCTTGTTTCTGTGAGTATGACATACACCCGTGCATTTGCTATTTCAGATTTGGGACACGTCTGAGAAAACCAGTGGAGTCACAGGGAAGCACAATGACATTTGGAAAAGGTTAGGGATGAGCCAGGCCTGGAGGCATCGAGGGTTCAAGGTCAGACTGACACACAGACCGATGGGTTCAAAGAAGCGTCGCACTGGGGAACAGATGCGCCCAGTGGGGACGCTGATGCTGATGGCTGAGGCCCCGGCCTGAAGGGGACCGAGGGTGAAAGGCTGGGTGTCGGAAGATGGCCGAGCTCGTCTGTCCTTTCGGGCGCTGACGTCAGAGCCCAGCCAGGGAGGAGCAGGTGAAAGGCAGGGAGGCATCCGTGACGGCTTCACGAAACAGCCTCTTCTTTTCCTTCCGGAAAGAAGAGGCGCCTCCAACAGCCGGGGCAAGAGCAGCCCTGCCCCCGAGCGAACGACGCGTGGTCACCGAGCCATCGCCAGAGTGCCACCCACAGGGCCACAGCCACGGCATCACCACACCTGTTCTTGGGAGTGTGCACACACCCGTCCACACGACCACAGCCGGGGTCGCCTCCCGTCCCCCAAAGGAACAAAGCGACCGCACACCCAGAGCGGCTCCCGTGTTTCGGACCGAGCGTGTCGGCGAGTGGGGAGGTGTGTGTGGGGGGCGGGCCCGGAGTCGGAGCGCCGCCCCAAGTCCGGACCTTGGCACGCAGTCAGCGGGCACGGCGGCCCGGGCCTGCCGGTCGGTCTGCCC